CTCGATGAGCGGGTATGCAGAAATCCCACCCGTTCCGAAGGTCCAGAGCGCCTCCGATTGACATCCCGACCTTCTCTGCCTTCTCAGTGACCCGGGGTGGGCTGTAGATCTCCATGACGTCCACCCCGTACTTCGTCTTGGTAGTGGCATAGATCAAGGTCTTCACTTGCTTCGGGATCTCCTTGGTTGGCTGTGGCCACTCGTCGTCCTCCATCGCCCAGTAGCTGTTGCTGTAGTTGCACGGAAAAACCCAGTAGGCGTGGTTGTACCTGTAGTTCGTGAAGTCTTCAGGACGACGTAGGTCCACCTTCATCCACTTCTGTGATGAATTCTCGTCGTGCAAGAGGTAAAGCTCAGAGGGATCTCCAAGCCATCGTGGTGCGTATGGGGCTTGAACAGCTCCATCGTAGCCGCATGCCGTAGAGCATGTGCAGCAGATCACGAACGCGAGCTTCTGCATGAGGCCCATTCTCTGCTGCAGCGGCTTCTCCAACTGCTTGGAGTGGTAGATCATTCTTCGGACTTGGCCACAATGTCCCGGTCGATCATCTGCACATCGTCCCAGGTGTCCGTGTCGGAGTGGACTTCCATGACCTCCTTGTCCATGTTGAACCTCACTGGTGTCTTGGCCCTCCGTGTCGGCAAGGTTCCCGTGAGAGTTCTGCCCCGACTCCTTTGCTGGGATGTGCTCCGGTCCTCGTTCTGGTTGGACTTGTGGTCGGTCTCGCCGTTGGTCTTCTCCAGGGTCGTGCCGCCGGGCTCCTTTGAGTCCTCCGGCATCTCCTGCATCAGGCCCTCCGACGTGACCGTCGAATTGATGGGGTAGCTGGTCACCTTGCTGACGGTGACCTTCTTGAAGCTGATGTCCTGGCGGCTGCGTGGCGGCGGCAGTACCTTGGGGTGCTCGGTCGTTGGCGCATTGCACCTCACCGTAGACGTGCTGCTGCTGGCTGTGGCGTTCTCCAGTGGCATTCGTTCCCACCGGGATCCGCATTGAAGGCACGTCCACCAATAGCAACCCCGGCCCGCTCGGTGCCGTAGGTACTCGTGTTCGTGGGGACATTCGGCTGGTTCTCGGTTCCAGTTCTTCTGGGCTACCGACCTTGACAGTTGGGCGCCGATCCCCTGCCTGATGTCGTTCACGGTCTTCTTCTTCAGGCTCTTGTTGGTGTGCCGCTGGAGGTTCAGCTTCTCCTGCTCGAAGTCCTCGTTCTTGGTCTTCATGAGATAGTCCACGATCATTTGATCCTGAGCCACCTTGATCAAAGCCAGGAGTGCCAGCGAGAGTCTCCTCCAAGCTGAACACGGATCTTTCTTGGCCTTCTCGGTCTTCTCGGGCTCCGTGGTCTCCCTCACCAAGCGAGCTGCCCTCTCCTTGAGTGACGATGCCATGGCAGCAGAGGACGGGCAGGATCCGGGCCACTAGTCGACTAAGCATTGAGCTCGGCTGCGGCCGATCCAACTCGTTCTCCAAGTCCAAAGTGGTGTGAGGTTTCTCACTTGCATCTTCAACCTCGTCATCAGACATGAAAAACTGCTCAGCACAATGACCGTCACATGCACTCCGGGGGCTCACAGGGTTCCTTGGGAGCTGCTGGTCGGCCCACCTGACTTGCTTTTGCGATGTTGTGCATGTGGTGAAAGTGCTTGTGGTGGCTGATGCTTCAGGTTGATTGCTTGCGTGTTGTGAAACTTGAGGTCCAGGGCCCTTTTGCACTCTGTGATAAGGGTCCTGTCGCGGGCGGCTACTGCTTGAAGCCGCCTGTGAAGCCGAAAACGGTGGCGGCGAATCGTCGGGGAAGGCAATTGTCGCGCCCTCCTCCCAAAAAGGTTGTTCGCCGTCACCGCCCACATGAAAAGTGACCGAGCCTGACCATGGTTTTGACAGGGCACGAGCACCATGTGGGCCTGGCCAACGATCATCAATGGTGATGTCGTGGCCGTCTGCAAAAATTGCGAATGTCCGCCGATGCGGGGACAAGCCTTCCTTGGGAAGACCACTGCACTCATTGGGGATGACCAGGTGGTCTCGGCCTCCCGGAAGCGTCTGCACGAAGGTCGTGCCCTTGGTTGATTGCAGCCACACCGTGATGGTGCCGCCCTCAAAGAAGTTCGTGATTCCCTTGGGCGGCAGCTTGAAGGGATCGATCTTGGGGTTCTTCCGTCGTTCCACCGGAAGGTCCCAACCATCCTGATCGAAGTCCAAGATGTTGATAGTGCGGTGTGCTGATGGCAACCTCGTCATTGGCGTGGGAGTGCCGTTGATGATGCACAGCTCGTTCTGCAAATCGATGATCGCCTCCACGGACTCCAGGAAGCTGACGGGAAGCAGCGGTGGGGTCTGAAACTGATCGCTGTCTCTGAGGATGGTGAACCTCAGCACACAGTTGTTGGAGGCTATCCCCAAAGGCACCTCCATCATCGACTCCACTACCGCGGCTCCACCAATGCCGCCAGCTCCGGGAAGTGGAACTCCAGCGCTCACCGGCAGAGGTCGAAGTCCTCTTCGATGCAGCTCAATGGTGAGCTGCCTCATCGCTGTGCTGCCTATGACTGCATCTTCAGCCGCAGTGTCAACCAAGGCTTCCTGTGGTCGGCACTTGACTCCGGCGAAGATCATCAGCCTTTTCGCAAGCGTTGGTTGTGTGGTTCTCGCATCGGTCTGGGGCATCTCCTTGAGGTTGGTGGTCATCATGAAAACCATCGGCTGGGTCGCAGTGTTGTTGCCCGAGCTTACTACGAACATCTTCTTGTTGATGCCCTTCCCAGCACCCTTGGTCTGAAGCGGGCAGTCCTTGGCGTAGTGGCCCAGCTCGTTGCAGTTGAAGCAGCGGGTTCGCAGAATGAGGTCCTCTGACGTTCCCCGCATCTGCCCCTGCCCCTTTCCTTTATCACCACCTTTCCCTTTTCCACGGCCGGAGAATCGGAACTTGCCCCGACCCTTCTTTCCACCTTTCCCATCACGAAAAGGCGGGCCTCTCCGAGTGTAACCGCGATCAGTGCGGCGCTTCTGTAGCTCCTTTCTCACATCTCGGTAGGCGGAGACGTAGGCTTCCAAGTACTTCGACTCCTCCTCCGTGTACTCACGGTCCTCCATGAAGAAGTGAGCGTTGCCCTCGTCATCGATGGCGACCGGGTTCTCCGGTTCATCCTCGTACTCCCACTCCGGTTCGTACTCGTACGGGTAGTCTATGTGGTCCTCGTGGTCCTCGAAGTTGCCGCTGTAGTGGTCGTAGTCATAGCTCTCGGGGAACTCCTGCAAGTAGTGCTCCTGGTGGAAGTTCTTGGTCACCTTGGTGTCCTCTCCCCGAGCCAGCATCTCTGGCCTGTCCAAAGGCCGAAGCATCTCGGCAATCTCGTTGAAGCCACGAGGATCGGCCCCTTCAGGGTGATCATCTCTCGCTGAAGTTCATTTAGTCCAGCTTGGCGTAGGAGAATGCGGCCACATAGTTTGTCACAAACCTTCTCACCAAGGAAGGACTCCATCTCTTGTCTAGCAATCTCCTTCGCCGCGATGAACGAAGTGTATGATTCCCCTTTCTGGCGCTCGCCCTCAAAGAGGAACCGGTCGATGGCCTTCGGCCCCGAGGCCTCGAGCACCGGGGCGTACTTCTCCTGAAGGGCCGTGAGGATGGCACTGTAGCCTCTGCTTGAAAGAAGCACCTCAGTCGGCACAGTGTCTGCGATCCTCCTCGGCTGAGAGCCTTCCTGAAAGCTCTGCAGTAGCTTGATGCCGCGCTTCTCCAACGGCACCTGGCTCTCAAACTCCCATAAAGCTAGCAGCTTCAGCCACGATCTCAAAGTCGCAGCTGCTCCATTCCAGGTTGGAATCGCTCTTCGTTCGCCCGTCAGAGCTTGGCTCAGTGCTTGGGCGATGAGCTGGTCATGACCTTGATGATGTCCATGTTGATGCGCTCGATCAGGAAGTGGCGACTTTCCCAGCATCTCAAAAGCAGAAAGCACCCGCCTCGGACCCGTGTTGTCTTGGGGTGAATCCAAAGCGGCCGCAAAGCTAGACGCATTCACTCCGGGCGGTGGTAGTCCTCCAGTTCTGTCAGATGGTCCAGGAGGCCCAGCATTCGGTCCAACTCCTCCAGGGAAACCAGGGGGCGCAGCACTCGGATCAGCTCCTCCAGGAAAACCAGGTGGTACAGCACCTGAGTGGTGGGGTTGACCTTGCTGCGGTGCTAGGCAAGGGAATTGACAATGTCCCGGATGTTGGAACGCACCATTGGCTGGGAAGCCCGGCATTCCACCTCCATATTGCGGTTGGGCTCCAGAACTAAGGTTGCCAGGGGCCAGTCCTTGAGGCTGAGGCCCGAAAGCAAGGTTGCCAGGAGGTCCTTGATGAAGCCCTCCTGGTTGGCAAGGGCCTGGTGCCGCAGGTGCAGGTGCTCGGCTTGAAGCGTCACCCTGCGGTCGCGGTCGATTGTCCGCGAGGTACTGTGCCCAAGGATCCAAGGCAGATCCTGAGCTAGTACCACCGGCGAAGGTCCAAAAGGATGGCCTCGGCGTAGGCGAAGCAGCGCCTGGCCCATGGCCAGGATTCGTAAACATGGCTCGCGCTACCACTGTGGGTAGAAAGTGCTAAAGGCGGCTAACGCCTTTTCCTTCCATCTACTGTCTGCGTCAGCGCATATGACTCAAGGCCTGCAAGAGGCGACATGCCAAACCCATAACGGTGGTTTACATGCTTTCACGCCCTACAAGAGCGAAGAGGAACCCATGAGCTGATCTTCTTGGACCAAATTCCCTTTCAAACATCACCCCAAGCACCCGCAAAACCAAGGACCCCATGTACAGATCCCTGACACAAGGTGATGTTCCAACCGTCTCAAAAGAGGGGGGCGGGCCTTCGACTTTGTGGGTGGACAGGAGGGTATCGGGATCCTGCCAAAGCGAAGTCCACCATTTTGGAAAATCCCCTTTCAGTGATACTCAAGTGGTTAATCCCACGACTACTTCATCACTGTTCCACCATGCATCCAATCGGGACCCGCCTTTTGCTTCACTTGGCCAGGCACCACCTGCTCCTGGCGCTGCGTCATGACCTGCGGACGAGGCAAACCACTCCGTTGCTCCGTTTGCAGGATACGAGCCAAGTCACTAGGACCCGACAGAAGAGTCCACATAAATGATGTCCACCAAAGAATCCCCAACAAAAAGTCATGCCCGAACATCCTCGGGATATCCGCAAAAACGCAGGACTGGCGGTTGAAGGAAAACCTCAAGGAATGGATGGCGGTTGAAGAAACACCTCGAGGAGGCCAACCCTTCGCATATCCCCTTGCTTCGAAAACACTCATGCCGTGGCACTCTGAAACTCGCGAAGGGGATGGGGATGGCCTTCGCGTAAAAGTCTAGTTGCCACGCAAACCTCAAATCTTGGCTTGCTGAAATTATCCGCCCAAACAAACTCCCAGACCAGGTAGCAGAAAGATTTGTTAGTTTCCCGCAGTCCAACACCCGCATACTGGCTCCCTCAAAGCGAGCATTGAGAAATTCACCAAACTACATTTGTGTCCCAGTCGGAAACCCATTGAAACCAGCCGTTGATTCAAGGGATAACTCTGCGAATGTCAACTTCCTCACTCCTGAGTGGATTGACCAGAAAACATAAACAAACAAACGTTGCCAGGTGCCACCAAAATGGTCTTCCCAAAAGTGTCAAGTCCAGGCACCAAGAAAATGAAAATTGTTGATTCCCTAAGGCCAGCTAGACTGAATCCCAGGGGTTGTTGCTGCAGACATATGTCGCAACATAAAGTACCCCCCCAAAAAAATGCGCGATGTCCTTTTGACTTCCCTTTAAGACAACCAAAAACAGGGCACCGAGCCTCGAAAAAGGCAAACCCCGCACCTGCGGAGCGGCGTTCACCTCGCTGCCCATGCCCGCGATGTACTGCGGCTCACCGGATTCCTCGGATGAGGACGTGTTGGGATCCAGGTGGATCCAAGGATCCAACACCAACTAGTGGTCAAAAAGGCCGGCTCGAGATATTCCACGTGAATCGCCAGGAGGCGATACCCCTGAAAAATCAAAGCCCCCGCCGAAACCCCAAGAAAGTTCTTAGGCCCTTTTAAGAAGATGTTCTCACAAGGGTGCCTAACATTTCTGGGAGAGTAGGGGGTCAAGGGCGGAAAGCGGTTTCTGCCAGAGGAGAGACAGGGAAAACCAAACCAAGGCGAAGCCCAATCTTCGAAGAATGAATATTTGATTCGCCTTTGCTGCGACGTATGGCTGACATTGAACCTAGTTGACGCACTCAAACAGCCAGCCTGCCGACTCACATCCCGACGGTCACACATGATCGATCGCAAATGAGCCACAGTCAATATAGAAATGTGTCAATATATGGACTTGGAGCCGAATGTGGTGGCTGTTCTTTCGGTTTCCTTTTCAGCCAATCCCAAAAGGGTACCACCAAAAAAGCACACACCCATATGGGTTTGCGCAATCAGAAGATTGTTTAGGTCTTAGGGAAAGAAGAAGCTGGTCAGCTCTTCCAAAACCCTCCTGTCCACTTCCATTGGAAGCACGGTACCACTGCAGCTCCGAGTTGACCTTTCCGTGCCCCCCCCCCAGATCGGCCTGGGTGGCCTGGTACTGCGGGCCCCACTGCCTTAAAACGAGTGCCCGGCTCGGGCACCCTTTCGGAGGAAAAAAGGTCGAAAAACTTGACCAAGTGGGGCAAACCAATTGTTTGAAGCGTGGCTTAAACCAGCATTTGTTGATGCGTTCTTGTTTTACTCTCGTTTGAACATGTTTGCCCCATTGTTTAAACAACCTCCACCGGTGCCCTGAAAATGGTAGTGGCAGTATCTCGATGGAGAGATGGAAAGTGAATCCCTGCTCTTTCGCTCTTGCCCCTCTTCTCGGCTCTTCTTCTTCCTCGTGCCCCATCTCGTCATCAGAATGCCATAGGTATATTATACCCGACGAGTACAGAGACAGCTTCCCTTTAAACAGGACTAGGGGCTTCAACGTACTCTGCACTCTGACCCGTGCAACCAGCGACCCAAACACCACACAGTCAAACAAACAGTTCCATCTTGTCTTTGAGGCAACTAAAATTTTGGGTTGGAAACCAAAAATTGGAGGCCCTTGTGCATAGTCTTAATTCACCAATCCGAACTAAGATGTGAGAGAAACTCACAACGTGGAGTTCTGGAAATTCTAACAACAAAATATTTTGTGATGCCAAAGTGGACCAACCCGGCGACTATTCTCATGGCATCACAGCAAGTTAGCTTAAAAACACAGTTTCCAGAATTATGTTCAATTGAGACAAAGGAATCTTGCAGCCAAGCCTTCTACGGGTCGTTTTGTGTGCCCAGCAAGACAAAAAGCGATACAAAACGCACCAGCAAAGCAAAAAGCAAAACAATGGCAAACATTCCTTCAAGGCCCGGATTGAAAGGAGACCACCCAGTGCAAATGTCCAACCCTTCAGACTACGATGACCCACTGCACCATGTTTCACTCGCTGCAAAAAAATCAACTTTGGCTGGGCCGCTTGCCTGTTGATGGCTGGAATAAGCCTGCGGCCCCGCTAGACTGCGCATCAAGTTGTCGACTCAAGTCAGCATTCCCATCGGCAAACGGAACACCTCAGATTCAGGGGTCCCCACAAACAAGAACCACATCACGGTGAGCTCAGTTTACCCCCGAATCGGTGTGAGCTCACAAGGATAGATTCGCATGGATCAGCTAGGAACAGGATCCAGCACGTTTAACCCCGTCCCAACTCCTAACTCCGTGCCTCGGACACGAGGCAACTCTTGCAGCAACATACCGACGCAGATGGGGCATAGCGGCATATCCTTTTTGGTGTCCCTAGAGGCACAAGCCGGAACCAGAATCTAACAAGATCCGCCCTCTCCCTCCCTCCCTCTCGGCATGGGCACGTCATAGTCGCCTTGCTTGTGTCCTTCACACTCTCCACTGGGATCTTGACCTGGCCATCTCTAGGCCACGAGCCTGAGGCTTCCCCCTCCCACGAACATCCAAGATGGTTTCCCCAACACCAAGGCTGCACGTGACCCGAGACATTGATACGCAGGCATGCACACTGGCACATTTACTCCGCCCAAGGAAGTCCGCACACCCGCCAACAAGAAACTGTTGCGGTAAGCTATATAAATGTTTGAAGGTGCGAAGGTAAAGTGAGCCACGCCCAATATCCAATGCGATGGCCAGAAGGCCGAAATGGAACTGTATATACTTCGGTATGTGACATGTTGCTCTGATTTGCTTTGCTATGCTTCGCTGCTTCGGTTTGCCTGTTGCTTTGTGCTTTGCGATGATTCGCTTGCTATCCTTTGCTTTGCTATGCTTTGCTTTGCTATGCTTTGCTTTGCTATGCTTTGCACTGCTGTTCCCAAAAATGTTGGTTCCCTTTGTGTTTCCCTTTCTGAAACCGGGTGCTCTCAAACAACACACCCATATCAACCCTCACCACTTGCAACCGAAGCTCCGCCAAGGGTTGCTGGCTAAGCAACTAAAGCCGCACCCAAAACCAACCGGTGTCCTTTCTCCCGCCTGGGTAACCGGCCCCATGATGGTCTGCATGGGCGAGCCTTAGTCAATGCGCCAGCTCCGTCACTTACGCCATTGCATTAGAAGGCAAAGAGGTACAAACTTAACTAGGCAAAGATGTAAGACTCACTCGCCCACAGAACGTTGGAAAAATCGTTAATGTGCAGCCTTGACTACGAGTAGTCAGAATGGAAAAAGAAGACGTGAGATGAGATGTGGCGATGGCTTGTAATCTGGGCGGACATCATGTACATGGGGGTTAATGTCCGGCTTCCCTCTATTTCTCCCTTAAGTCACCCCACTACGAGGGAACTCACTTTAAGTTGGCCCCGAAAGGTGACATATCAATCCACCAAGAGAAAAATAAAGGAAACCTTGAAGAAGACACCGGGATCACGATTGCCTCAAAGCCGAAAAGGTAGGTTGACCAATGTTTTGTTGTTTTTTCCCCAGAAAAGGGGGCCAAATCATGATTGCTGTCTCATTTGAAACCCAAATTAACTCCAGAACCAAAAAAAATCAGCTGAAAGTTCGACCCCCTCCCCGCCCAACCACCTTTCCAAACCCAAGTTGCTAAACTAACATACGACCCGCCGATATGCATTGTTCCTCAAGAGGACGTGGGAAAATTGGGGTTGTCGCCTGGTTTTTGGGAAGCTGGGGTTGCACCCCCTTCTTGTCCTCTCGAAACCAGCAACAACCTACCAATGGGTTTATCAGTTGCTCATAGTGTTCCTCAAAATGGCTTATGTAACATATGTACACAAAGAGAAGCCAAAAGGATCCCCACCAAGCTTTTACCGGACCAATTCCTGTTTCGCTCCGAGCACCCGCGAAGCCCAATGAAACCTATCAGCCGAGGACTCGGCTCCTGGGCTGCGGCGCGTAGGTCTGGGTGGAGATGGGGCCCTGGGTGGTCACCGCCTCCGTGGCTTGGGGCTCCATGGTGGTCTGCACCGGCTCCCCGGGCGCACCGTAGATCCTCAGCGCAGCTTGCTCTTTTGCTTGGATGAGCGAGAAAAACGGGAGAAACATGTTGGCAAAAAGGCAAATGCGAGAGAAACGTCGACGCTGGCAAAACTGCAAGCTCGTTTGCAAAGGCAAACGTGGTTCGCCCATGTTTAAGGCATATAATACTCATGCCATGGCTCATTGTCTGCACCGGCTGCGGGGTGGTAGCGGAGATGGACAGCCCCGTGCCGCTAGGCACCGGCCCAGTTGTGCTCTGAACTGCGTAGGGTTGAGCCGGGGCAGCATAGGTCGCTGGTGGGCCCATTTGCATGCTCTGGGGTGCGCCCATCTGCATGCCCTGGGGTGCGCCCATCTGCATGCTTTGGGGTGGACCCATCTGCATGCTCTGGGGTGGGCCCATCTGCATGATCTGGGGTGGGCCCATCTGCATGCTCTGCGGGTCAGCGTAGGTCACCGGAGCCATCTGCTGGGGAGCGGCGTAGGTTACCGGTGCGCCCTGCATCTGCATGCCCGGCATCGTACCTCAGCCACCGGGGGACTTAGCCTCAAAGGATTAGAGAATTTCAACCAGGTCGGGTTCGTGGCTACTCTCGGGACTTGGACTTGGACGAAACCCCTTCCTGGATGCTCCACCTAACCAACCAGTTTTGGGGGGGATCCGCTATGTTGAATAATACCCTCACATCCTGCTGAGCTTTACTCGCCAACATCCAATATCAGTTGAGGGGCACATTGGATACTTGGATGCTTGGACCAAGCCCGCAATTTGTGAGTGCGAATCTCTCAACCCTAGGCTTGCATGCTCAATCTACTTAGCAAGCTACCATGGTTAATTGTGGTCAACCTGCGTGGCTTGAACATCCGAGTTTGGACCCCAAGCGCATACCAACCGGGCAACAGCCCCCAAAGGCGACTTGACCATCGCCAGTTCCCAGCAGCAGCCGAGGGATTCACAAAAATTGCCATTTTTAGGCAACTTTATTGCCAACAGAAAGCAGCTCTTGGATTTCTAGGCCCTGCGTTGAAGTGTTGCTTCGCTCCGCAAAAGGTTGGATCGCCCGCATCATACATGGAGAGGCTTCATGGCGTTGGGCATAGTCGCAACTGGCAAGTGAGTAGATGCTCAGAGCGAGCTCTCCATGGATGTGTTTTAGAATAGGAGATCCCCCAAACGTGTTGTTCCTCATTCGGTTCCCTCTCTCAATATGTGTTTTTGCTTGTCTCGAAGTCGGTTGACCCTGACGGTTTTCCTTGTGTTTTCCCTTGAAGTCAACCTGAGAAGGATACCCGCAACAAAAGTTCATAGGAACCTCGGATTAAGAACACCCTGCTTGTCTTGTTGGGGGGGTGTGCCTGTTCTAGATTCTAGTGGGGATTCAATTTCGGGGAATATTCGGAGGGACGGGTTGATTCAATTTGGGTCAAAGGCGCCCGGCATGGTGCCCTGCATGGTCCCGGGCATGGTATAGGTCATGCTCCCGGGCGCGGCGTAGGTGGCCCCGCCCATGGGGGGTGCGCCGTACCTCAGCCCCGGACCCGAAAAAGTGGCCACGCTTCAAGGGGAAACGGGGGGGAACCAAACAAAACCAAAAATATGGTTTTTGCTGGTGGGGAAACAAACAATAAAGGGAAAAAAACAGAAGGCCAAAAGAAAAGTGACAGCGACGACATTGTGCCGGTTGAGAAGGAAAAACGCATGAAAGCCACAAAAGGGAACAAGGTTCTAACCAAAGAGCCAAAACCGAAAATGCTGAAAAAAATCGAAAAGCAAATGTGCCCGTTAAAAGGCTAAATGAAGCAAAACAAAAAAGCGATAAAGTAGGTTGAAATGCTTGAAAGGGCAAAACAAAAAGGCAAAAAGTCAAGGATAAAAAACACAAACCAAAAAAAAACAAGAAAACAAAAAGTGAGCTCTAAGTCCGGGCCATGACACATGGTGGGGGGCGCGGCGTAAGTGGTGGGCTGAGCCATGTAGGTGGGCGCGCCATAGCCCATGGGCTCTTGAGGCGGCCCGCCGTACGTCGTCACCTGGGAGATGGCTGGAAATGTCGGTCTGAGGAATTCCTACACGCCAGGATTCCTGGCAGAAGTAAAGGGGATGGCTGAACTCAAATGAAGCATCACACCATTTCACGCAACTGTAAGGGTGGCTCCGTTTCATGACTACCCAAGTGACTGACCCAGTGCTTTTACCATTATCAAAGTCACCCGGGCTTCTGGCTTTGATAACCCCAGAAACAGTCAAGATGATGCCCCCAGAAATGGACCGGCAAATGGTTGCCTTCCTGTTGGTTTCCCGTTTAAACCAAGAGGGTCCCCCAAGAAAGACACACACACACACACACAGAGACATGTCTTGTTTCGAAAAGCAACTGAGTTGCCTCGGGAAGAAGCCTGGCTTTGATGCAATGACCAAAAATCACCAAGACCGGTGCGAAAACTGACGGTGCCCAAGCCCATTCTGTTTCTTGGCTGAAGGAATGCTGGAGAGTGCCGTCCAACATGGATGGGCTCCTCAGGGTCCTTCAATACGTTCAATGTCCATATTCAAAGAAACTTCACACGCAACGATTCAACCCCCCTCCAGCGATGTAATCCCTATCACAGGTCTGCGGGAGCCTTACAAGCATTGCTTGAAGCATCCCCCCCTCTGGCTGCAGCGAAGGAGCGGGAGCACCGTAGGTAACGGCTCCGGGGACTGTTCCTGGCATACTTTCATGCCGCACGTGGCAAAGCGTTCGACGGGAATACTGCCCACTGCCCCGCTGCGAGAAGCAAGCGCGACGCAATGCTTAGGGTCCCTGTCAGCTTGCTGGGCCTTAGCACAGGTTCGGTTGTCAACCCAACCAGTGGATGAAATGTTGACCCGGAATACTACACGCGTCCTATTAAATCCGCGGGGGCTGTTCCCTCCAAAAGTAATGAATCCGTCTGAGGTTCGTGTTTCCTTGGAGATAGCTCACCTCCAAAACGGAGTGCTGAAGGGACTCGCGCGTAAGGCTGACTTTGACTAATGGTACATTCGTGCTTCCAACCAACGAAAGGCTGTTCCCCTTCTTTTTAGAAGCCGAAAAGCCTGGAGTCGTAGCCTATGCCCACCCCGCGGATCCACCCCAACGCACCACCCAAGGTCTGTTCCAACCCCCCCCTTTTTCCTCGGGAGGTTCGGCCCGCACAAGCTGCAAACGCTTTGGTTTGGGACCATCCTGCATTTGGGATGGATGAAGCCATATGGATCCCTCAAACGGGTCAGGAGGGGGTCATAAGCCATTTCAGAATCTCTGGTAATACTGAATGAAAAACCACCTATAGCGAACTGCTGCAGGCTGGGATATGTTCTGAAAATACCCTTTCAAAGTTGGAATACTTGATGTCCAATTCGCACGCGTGTTGGAATTCGCATGTGGTTTTGGTGCTACACATTTCAAGTGTCATACATTTGAGTGGATCATGATCAAATTAAAACAATTCCCAGCAGCAGTTTGTTTTACCCAACTGTTCCACCCACACTAGGGATGGTGCTTACTGACTTCAGGCGGAATCCCATCCAAGGGTGGCCTTAGGCCAAAGCTTTGACACCGTGGCACCGTGTTCACCCATAAGCCGAAGGATACCTTGTAGACTACAACTGAAAGATTGTGAGGGAGTCTAAAAAGCAACAAGCAGGAAAAAGAACTGGATGATTGAGGAAAAGCGAAAAAAAAACCTCCAGCCTGCAGAGGCGGGGGCGCCGCCCATGGCCGACATGAACCTCCGGCGATTCTTTTGGAACGCTTGGGGGTGTTCCAAAAACGAGATGCTTCGGCATTTCAAAACGTGTGTTGGGTGACATGATTGTCAGTGGGAAACAATGTCATACAATACGTAATGCTAGCTGCGGCAGCCTTTCGGGACGTTTTTGGTTAACCCGATGGATGTTCTACCAGGTTGCAAAGGCAACACACTGATGAGGTTGCAAATGGGTCAACAAGGCGCGGTTACTCGGTTGAACATCAAAGTGCCACTTGCAAATGGGCCTTCCCAATCCTTGCGAACCACAGATTCGCCCATGCCTCTAAACACAGGTCAGCCTCTATGACGATGTGGGAGTGTGAGATAAGGACTGAACCTCTATTGCTTCATCCTTGCGACCCCATGGCCCCCGGCTCTTCCCGCGAGATTTGCCCGTCATGATTGCGGTCCTGCGGGAGTCAGCTCAAGCTGAGGGGCCGAAAGGATCTCCGAGTGCAAGCATGTCCATACTCCTCCTTCCTCCTGTAGCTTAAATAACCAGAATGAGGTTGCAGGGGAAGTTAAAACCAGGCTTCGTCATGTTTTGCCCCTTAGTACGAGCCAAGCATATGTTTCTGAAGGCTACCGATGGGTTTCTAGATTGCCACCACCGCAGCTGGGCCATGAGCTTGCGGAAATGGTTTCCGATTTGCCATCTCTGACGAGCAAGAGTCGTCCTATTCAAGCTCTCACCCTTTGCATCATAACTGCCATGGCATCTTTGCTTCTCCCAGAAACAGATGCCATGCCACGAAAGAGCTGGCCTGGCAGAAAGAATGGAAGCACCTGCTCTTGGGAGAAATGCAAAAATCCTCTGCAAATACTCCCCTTCAAATTGGCATGCAACCTCAAAACACAGTCCCAAAAAAAAACAAAAAACTCTAAAGATTGTGGTTTTGGGTGTTCTATGTCAATCTGAAAGGGAGCAAGCCCCATTTGCTCAGTTCGGCAATGAGTCGGCCATGAGCAACTGTCAAGGACATTCGCCGCGTCTGGTGTACTTGGGGGCTCGGACTGTTCAGGTAGGTGCACCCTTGTCCATGACATTAATGGCAACAGCCTAGGGCAAGGATTGGGGTTTCGACCAACACGGAGAACAATCGAAAGGTCCACCAAACGCAGATTCCTGAATGAATCCCGAGAGCCATTGGCTGAGCGGCTGCAGGGCTAAGGATAGACCCAGCCTCCAAACCACTAAGGAAGGTTTACGTGACGGTGACCCTTTTATGAAAACCAACAAGTTCAAGGAGTGGTCTTCTTGCCGCAAGCAAATGCGTTCCCGGAAAAGAAACAGAAAGAAAACTTGCCTCGGCATATGTAGGCATAAGTAGGTGCTGGTTTGTGGAATGCTTAGGTTGCATTGCCATAGGCACCAAGAACAAGCAAGCCAAAAGGAACACCATCACCCATCCACCTGCCGACCCAAAGCCCAAGGCCCAAAAGCAAAGGCCCAAATCCGGGTCCATCATGCCGAACATAAACTCCTCCCGGGAGATCACGCCATCCTCAGAGACCGGCAATGGCTTCGAGGCTTCGGCCAGAGGTCATTCGAACATATGAGATCAGGACAAAAATGCTCCTTGCTCCCCAGAGGGCAGGGGAAAATGCCCAATTGCCCCCCTGATTTGCGTGGGGAATTGATGCTTCCACCCATGTCCTCCCCAAGCCAACCCCAAACTAACAATTGACTGCCGAAAGTGTTCTCAGCTACGAATGTGGGTGTAGTCTTCAAATTAGGGCCCTCCAGTCGCCCTTTGCTTTCCGTTTGACCAACCACGAAAAGAGTGACCTCACATTTTGACACACCCATGTCTGTGCCATGTCTGAGTCCCTTTGACAAGGACTGGAAGGACTGCCAGGATGATATCTGGGAGGGAAAACGCAACGAATAGGGATGACCATCCAGTCTTTGCTCTTTTGGCTTCCCCATGTTGCATGATCCTTGGATAAATGATACTGAAAGGCTAGCCGTTGTTCATACCCTCCTTGCGGGTATGAGCAAGAGTATGTACTTCTGCTCTACTTGCATAACCAGACAACCAGGATCCCTGAAACGGCTGTAGCAAAAGCCAGAAAAATCACTTTTCGCGTGATTGTTGTCATAGCAAGGTCCTCGTGGTCATGTTGAGGCTCAAATCAAGGTCAGCAATGACCCAAATATGGCTGTGATGGGCAAAAAGGCCTGAGACCGACATGCCCATGATTGTGCAACCCCTAAACAAAACGCCTGCTTGACTGCACTGAAAACTTACCCTGGAATAAAGGACCCCATGGGTGAGTTCCGTCGCAAACCAAAAGGTCCCCATAAGGAGGTGTCTTTTCGCGATGCACCAATGAAGCAAACCACCCACTTAGGGAGTTCCCCTGAGAAACCAAAAGAGGAAGCGCCATGCTTCGTATTCTCCGAGCACCCCCAACACGTGGCCTGATTGGCATCCATCTGCTCGAAGGCGGCCATATTGGAAAACAAACCTCGGCTTTTCCAGACTTGTTGGAATTGCCCCCCGCCCCTCCCTCCGTCGCTGGTTTGGCTCCGTTCTTGAGAGGTCTCTTGAGGCCCCTTCACCCTCCCCCCCCCCCCGGCCGCCGCAGTTTTGGCTCTTGCGTTTTGCACAGCTCCCAGGAGAACATGGGAAGGATGAACTGTCAGGCATCCGAGTCTCGCATCTACGGAGGAGAAAAACGGAAAGGACACAATTTGCGCTTGATGCACATCAACTTCCTTCAGGCGCTTGGCTCAAGTCGGGGATGTGACTGGGACCCTTCCAAGGATTTCAGCTTCTTCCACCTCGATCCACATGACCGAAACCAAGAGACCCCTAAGACTTCACTTTGGGTAACGTCGCAACCCCCTACAGAGAGGTGGCTCCCTTTAAAGTAAGAAAATACTTCATCTGCGACAAATGGAATCCTCTGGAATATTCCGCAGTTGGCATTACTACAAGTAGCCATCACTCACAAGAACACCACATCGCCTAGGTGATGGGCACCAAACGTCAAGAAGCCCACTGGTCATGGGCCCAATTTTTGCTTGGCTGATTTTAACGAGAAACCCTTCCAAAAAGAATGGCGCACTACTGGGTGTCTGGGCTTTCTTTACAAATGGGATGCCAAAAGGGAGTCAGCCATTTGAGGATGCCTCTAATTTGGACAGCACCTATAATGACTGGAGCTACATGATCGGTGGTCGAATATGGGCATACCCGCACGGGATGATTGGGAAAAGTTAGTCGGTCTCATGTCCCTCCCAGACGGACAACAGACAGCACTGGATATAGTATTTAAACTTAGCTCCCAACCTTCAGATTGCTGGCTGAAAACAGCTCCCAGCCACCCGCAGAAGGGGAAAATAACGGGGCCCACGCTGGGCTTCGAGGCGAGCGGAGACGAAGCAGAGCCCCAAACAGCTGCGGGACGGAGAGATGGAAATGTGGCTTCTCACCCCCCGTTATTGGGATGTTCAAGGGAAACCACAAGGAAACGAGCAATTTCTCGGGCCGGCTATTTTTGAGAAGCAGCCATATGGGTTTGGGTCAACATAGTGGGACCCCAAGAATGGGCGGTGTCCCTTCGGTTTCACCTGAAAACAAAACTAGAAAGGGGTACTATGCAGGTGGATGGCCAGCAAAGAAACGTAAATTTCACCACAACCCTACTGGACATGGGAAGATGAGGGCTTGTCCCCTAGCTTTTGCGGCCGAAACGAGTCGATCGGTTCCTCGGATTAAGGCTAAGATCGGAGTGAGGGAAAACTGCCGACTCAAGGCCCAACAAAATGGGGTTACAGACTGGACATGAGCTTCGGATATTCATTCCTGTTACAAGTAGCCTCGGATGACGGTGCGCTATTTGCTGTAGTGCAGAAACATCGACAATCAGAATGCCACGACATCACCTAGACCGTGCTCCCTTTTAAGGAAGTGAGTTTCAAGTTGAACGTAACCATCAACGGCCGACTCTGGCAACTGTATGGTAAGCCAGCAAGCCTGAAGGGAAAATGCGCAGGCCTCACCTCCAACCTGCAAAAGCACTTCGCTTGGGAATCTCAAAGAACATGTGCAAAAGGTTCGCACCAAACAAGTAACCCCGCCCCCCGCTTCAATCCCATCCCCCACCCCCCCCGGGAGGGGCTGCCCCCGGCGTACCGGCTAGGAAGCCCCCGATGAGGCCCAGAAGCTGCGAGAAAAAGGGGATGGTATTGGACCTGAGCTGAAGCCGGCCGCTTCCCGCAACCGGCTTCAAAACCACAGGGCGAGAATCGTGTTGGCGGATTCATATTCGCGTCTCGTGGGTTTTCTTATCGACACAAACAAGGGTGCCGTGCATTATTGTCTTTGAGCTCTTGATGTTTTCATGGCACCGCTGGAGGGTTTACCTCGGCGCGTTTGTTTTGTGTGATCTTTTGTTTGCTTGCTTGCGTGCTTGTTCGGGTCTGGTTTGGTTTGGCTGGCTTGATTGGGTTTGGCCGAATTTGGTTTGGTTTACTTTGCATTGATTCGGCCTGCCTTCATATAGTTTGGTTCATTTGTTTGCTTGCTTGCTTCCTTGCTTGCTCGCTCGCTCGCTCGTTCGTTCTTTAGTTCGTCTGCTTCTTTGTGAGTATGTTTGCCTGTCTATTGCTTGTTTGTTTGCTTGCTCCTGGATTTGGCCGCCTGTTTGGCTTCCTGGCTTCAGCGCAGTGTGGCAGGCAGCAGGAGTCCAAACATAAGGTACCTGTCAGTCCCCATGTTCTCAGTGGCTTCCTGGCACCCTGGGTCCCTGGTCGACTTATGCAGCTTCTTCTGGCAGGGATTCTTCACTTTTGGGGGAATCCACACTTGCAACCCCCCGTGAACCTACAAGGTCTATGAAAGTCCGGACTGCCGAACTGAAAAACCTCAGGACGCCAAAGTGGGTAAGAAAACCTGCTTGTTGAAAAACTCCCACTCCGCTCTCCGAACCTCTGAACCTCCCCCCGCCATTCGAGCAGCTCCCAAAACACATCGACTTTTGGTCCTAGCTATCAAAATATAGGCCTTGCTAGAAACCTTCAAAGCCAGGTAGCCGTAGAACCGCGGCCCTAGGTTTTGGGCGCTGCTCGAGCAGCGGCCCTCGCGGCCCTGGGAGCCCGGCACAATGAAGCCGAAGCCCAGCATCCCGAGGCCCCAGCCTCGCGGAGAACGCATGGCACTTCCCCCCCCCCGGCCGCGCCCGGTGACCGTCCTTGATTCCCCCCAAACAGAAAAAAAAAGGAGAAAAAAAAACAAAGAACATGATGAAACAGCTCGGACATTCGTCCTAGGCAAGCATGCAGGCGTGTCAAACCGCAGTCCCACTTACTGCAAAGCTTGAACCTCCAGCTTGCAACGGACCCTGGAGGCCCCGGAGCTTGCCGCTTCTGGGCCCCTGTCAGCTATCGCCAAGCTAGTTTGGTTTGGTTAGTTGCGGCAAAATCCGATCATCATTTTGTACTCTAACATGCTGTTGCCGCTGCCGCTCGTCTGGCTGTTTTCCAAACCCGCTGAATCTGAACCAAACGCATTGCAACTACAAACGATCCACCATCTTGGGCAAACCCTTCCCTTCTCATCTGAGTGTCTCTAAGTGCAGTACAGTGACCCTCAAAACGCGCTCTCTGGGCCCAACGAGAAGCCAAAGACAAACTCTGGGGATGGGGCGTGCAATCTGTGTAAGCTTGTCCCACCCTGGTGAGCTCGGTACAACTTCTGCCGAAATGCAACTGGGTCCATCAAAGCGACATCCTCAAACAATACCCTCCGAACTGTGGTTAAAAGGAAAACAACCTTCAGAAGAAGTTTTGAGAACCCTTTAAATTATGAACTTTAAGGAGCCCAGCATAAGGATCCCCTCTTGGGGCCGACGCAGCCCCTCCACACACACACACACACACAATCTCCGGCGCCCGCGCTCCCATGCTGCACGTAGGACTTGCAGCTGCGCTGCTCGAGCTGCGCGGAGAGAAGGAAGCCGAAGGCAAAAAGTCGGAGGTTTGGGCACTAAGCTCCAGAAATTTGGTGGAGACATTTGTGAATTTGGGAGGGGGACGGGGTCCTCCATAAAGGGCACTACCACTGACCTCAACTAGGTTGGTGTCGTTCTAGTTTTCCAGAGACACCCGCACAGCACAGGCCGCCAAATGCAAACGGAACCTTCATAAGCTCATGGAGGCCCCTAGGTGAACTCACATGTTCAAACGGAAACTCACCGTTCCCAGAAATGGTTTGCTCCTGTGTTCCGTGGCCACTCTTTTTCCGATGAGAACAAACATTGACACTTGCTCACAGTCAAAACTCGGTCACTGTGGGAGTCCTGTGGGTCATGCTTGCCGAAAATCCGTATGGTTGTCCAAACCTCTATTTAAGAGGCTGATGACTCAATCCTCGCCTGGTTCGGCTTACACCTGCCGTGGAAGTACCGGATCAGGACGATGTTCTTGATCCTTTGCCCAGTGGAGTCCCAAAAACACAAGGAGAAGCATGGCAGAAGAAACATGACGTACCACCAAAAGCAAAAAAGGAAAAGCACATTTAAAAACTAGCATTGAGTACCAACAAAAAATGGTAAGCTCACCAAACACAAACCCAACCAAAAGGGAGAGAACCAGAAACAAGTCCAACACAAACACACACACACACACACACACACACACACACACACACACACACACACACACACACACACACACACACACACACACACACACACGCACACACACCAGCTGTGAAAAAGGGGGTCCGCAATCTATCACCTTCCCCCAACTTGCGGCCCACAGCTTCGCACTTTAGTCAGACAGCCAGCTGCTCCAAGCTCCTGGCAAATACACGATCATGACGTGCAGGAACAGCAGGAGCGCCGCAACCTGTCCACCAAAATCGGCCGAAAGGGGACGAAGTCAAACCCACGGTGAAGTACAACATTTGTGGCACTGGGACTGGGCCGACTTTGCGGATTTTGGACACATACCACCTGACCCGCGTGGGTTATTTGCCGATCCTGCCATAACCCGTGGGCCCATCCGTGCGCCTGCAACGTGGGCCCATGAGCCATCCCCGCGATGAGGTCGTCCGTGCCGGAGCCGAACCAATAGCCCAGGCATGCCTTGGCCACGAGCTCAGCCCGAAAAAGGAACCACAGAGACCCGCGATTTTGGGAGTTGCTGGCATATGGCGTGACTTTGCCGAAAAGGGAAAGAAATCTAGGCAAAGTCATGGCACTGTGTCCTTTTGCGAACCTCGGCAGTTGCACGAGTTGTCAAGACCGCAAATCCAACAGCTCCAGGGTCCCCAGAATGAGAATTGAATGCCTGTCCTGACAAAATGCCCTCTGTGGCGGAGACTGGATTTACAAAATCAATCGCGATCAGGCCCAACGCCGAGGAGCCGTCCTTAGAATCTGAGAGCGTTGCAAAGACATCGTTTGGGAAAAGGCACTCGGGACTGCTAATCTGCATCGTGAGAAGCTGTGCGGGCACT